ACTGCTACTACTGCTGCTACTACTTGATATATCCCGTCATCCGACTCTAGTTATTAAGTCCCCTTTCGTCTAAACTCATCCATGGAACCCATAAAAGCGGAACTCCACTATTCTGATTCGAGCTGTCTATGGGGATTTCCAAAAATAGGGGACCCTAATATAGTCCCCCAAATAGTAGGTTCCATATTATAAGGACCCCAACGTAAGGTACCCCTTATTTTCGGAAACTCCCATATATTATCAAAGCCCCAGATCTCCAAGCCCGTGAATCCTGAAACCCAGAGTTAAAGCAGAAACCCTAAACCCTAAACCTTAAACCGGTTTAGGGTTTAGAATTTAGGGTTTAGGGTTTAGGAGTTTAGGGTTGAGGGTGTAGGGATGGTATCAGTACCCTCTTCAGTTCCCCAAACCCAAAACCCAAAACCTTAAACCCTAAACCCTAAACCCTAAACCTTAAACCCTATACCTTAAACCCTAAACCCTAAACCTTAAACCCTAAACCTCAAACCCTAAACCTAAAACCCTGAACCTTAAACCGTGAACCTTAAACCCTAAACCTTAAACCCAAAACCCTAACTTCAACAAAGCTTGGCATCCCCGCGGCGTGCGGCTGCGCGAGGGGAGCCTCCGAGGGTCCTCGAACACAACACATTATCGGGTCTAGGCTGTTAGGGTTTAGGGTTTAGGGTTTAGGAGTCCGATTGAGGGTTTAGGGTTCAGGGTTTGGAGTTTAGGAGTCCGATTGAGGGTTTAGGGTTTAGCGTTTAGTGTTTAGGAGTCCGATTTAGGGTTTAAGGTTTCGGGTTTAGGGTTCTAGGAGTCCGATTTAGGGTTAAGGTTTCGGGTTTAGGGTTTAGGAGTCCGATTGAGGGTTTAGGGTTTAGCGTTTAGTGTTTAGGAGTCCGATTTAGGGTTTAAGGTTTCGGGTTTAGGGTTTTAGGAGTCCGATTTAGGGTTTAGGGTTTCGGGTTTAGGGTTATTTAGGGCTTAGGGTTTCGGGTTTAGGGTTCTAGGAGTCCGATTTAGGGTTTCGGGTTTAGGAGTCCGATTGAGGGTTTAGGGTTCTATGGAACTTCAGGTGTAGGGTTGCAGCGGAGTCCGATTTATGGACAAGGGCTGCCCAAAACGCCTAAACCCTGAACTTATCTGAATCCCAAAGCTACAAAGTCCAATGTGTCCAAGGCTCAGGGCTCTTTCCACGCAGCCGTCGAGTGAGGCGCCGAGGTGGCGTCTGCGGATCTGCATGCCCTGGAGCGATTCGGTGCTTCTGGGTTTTGGGTTTACCCTAAACCCTAAACCCTCAACCCTAAACCCTGAACCCTAAATCCTCAACCCTAAACTACCCTAAACCCAAAAAAACTAAACCCTAAACCCTAAACCCTAGGCTTCTGGGGCCTCAACTTCAGGTTTGGGGACTGTTCGCAGGGCTTGCAGGGGGGTTTAGGGTTTAGGGTTTTGTAGATCGAGTTTAGTGACCATAGGGGTACAGCATGGGGCTCATGGACTACGGGGGTTGGGCTATCGGGATAGGGGCGTAAATCGTTTATAGGCGTCTTAACAGGCTTTAGGGTTTAGAGCTGTGGGGCCGAAACGTTGGGGAGGCTCATGTGGCTTTAGGGTTTCTAGGTTCTAAGTAGGGCTTAGGCTTTAGGGTTGAGGGGTTTAGGGTTTAGGGTTTAGGGCAATGGGTTTCTAGGTCCTGAGTAGGGTTTAGGCTTCAGGGTTTAGGGGTTTAGATGGGTTTCTAGGTCCTGAGTAGGGTTTAGGCTGGTTTAGGGTTTAGGGCAATGGGGGGTTTAGGGTTTATCTGATTAATTCATTCTAATACGGGTTCCCGTACAGCCCCTGTGTCACTGCAGTCCCAAAACACGGCTCTGACTCTTCCGTCCCCAAACCCCTCTCACTGATCTCCCCAAACCCCTGCAAAGTCCTGATAAAAAAAAACCCTAGCTAGGCCACCCTTTAACATGCTATTCTTCTTATTGAGGGCCTCACTATAGTAGACCCTAAACCCTAAACCCTTACAGAACCCCTTGGATCAAGCCTGAAAGCACAGGAACTTCGTTCAGGTCATCATCCGATCCTTAACGGGAACCACCCTAAACCCTAAACCCTAGGGTTTAGGGTTTAGGGTTTAGGGTTTAACCCTGAACCCTAAACCCCTCAAAAGAACCCTTAAAGGAGCCCTTCTAGTTAGTAACCCTCAAGAAATCCTTATAGGAACCACCCTTAAGGAATCCTTCTAGGAACCCTATAAACCCGTTTAAGGAGCCCTATGCTGGTATCCTCTGCTCCTGGGCGCGCCTCCGGAGACTTGAGGCTGAATCTGCTGCTGCCTCAGGCCGCCAGCATTGAGGCCGGAGGCTTCGGGTTTGGGGTTTAGGGTTGGGGTTTAGGGTTTAGGGAATCGAGCTGCTTGTTGCCGAGGGTTTATGAATTTAGATGTTTTGGGCTCAGTTCCTGGAGCTTCTGTGTGTTTAGAGTGTAACATTATAGGGTTAACCTGACGAACCCTGGTCTTTGTGAGTCATCCCCAGAGGGTCCGAGTACCCAAATAGTAAGGTGTTAGGTCCCAAAATCCATACTCTGAATGGTTTATGGACCGTGAAACCCTGCTATTTGGGTACTTGGACCCTGAGTCATCTACTAAGTCAGCTCTAGGGTTTGCATCTCCCGTCGGAGTCAGTGCCTTCACTTCCTGTACCTATAAAGACCTACAAGCAAACGAAGATGTATGAACAACGTCACTTGTCTTCCTGAGCTTAAGTTTTCAATCCCCCTCAAACCACAAATCTCATGCCTAGCAAAGATGGGGCCTTCAGAATTAAAGTAAAGCTGCGGAGTATGATTCGATATCTTGATTATTTGGGACTATATTATCATTATTTGGGACTATATTCTCATTATGTGGGACTATAAGGAGATGGTTTTGCGAAGCATTCCGCCCCTTTTGCTAGGCTCCCAGCGGACTGAAGCTTCGGATACGAAGCTGTCGCGGATCCTCGAAGCTTGTGTGCTTCTTACGGTGAAGGGTACATTAGGTTTAGGGTTTAGGGTTTAGGGCTTACTCTCGGTTGTACGTTTGGGTCTTTTCAACATTTTAGCATTTCACGGTTTTGGCCAGCCAGGGTGCATCGTAGGTTTTGAGAATCCCGGGGATTGAGACTTTTCAGTGGTGGTTGGGGTTTTGCTGGGCTTCATTTATTTCATACTTCCCTCAATTTCAGGGCAGTCTTAGAAGGAGTCGAATAGGGGTCAGGATGCCTCAAGAAGCAATGAGTGCAAAACAGAAACGTCGGATGGTGGGAGGTGCACAGGATATTGATCAGCTGTCTCTTTAGCCAGCTGGAGGTTTCTGTTCAAAAAATGCAGTTTTTGGGCAAATCAAGAACCAGATATCTCCAAGACCATGTGGCCTACCACCGGATCAGGATCGACGCTGAGCTTCAAGCTCCGAACACTAGAACCTACAGGCGAAATCGCACATCTAAGGGCTTTAGGAGGGACCCTTAAGAGGGACCCTTGCAGGTTATTGGGGTTGATATGGAGACTACCTAGCTATGTAAAGGGTATATAAGGACAATGGTTATTTCAGGTAATGGGATTAGGGGTCCCTATTAGGGGTCCCTCTTAAAGTCCTTAGAGCACAAGCGTAGCCCCGAACCCCAGCCGCTAAAGACACTAGCTTAAGCCAAACCAACGCCCCTACAAACTTGAAAAAGGGAATAACAGAAAGGTCCTGAACACCCTGAAGTTGTGGATACTCGGTGCACCGCTAAGTAAGTGGATGAGGAAGCCTTCATGAATTGGAGGGGACCGTGCATTCAAGAATCGTATTGCGAGCTGAGCCTTCTTTGGTCCCGCGGAAACTAACAAGCCTTCGCTCAGGAATACACTATTCACCTGACTGGGACTCATGCTCATAAGCCCAAAACACATTCATGAATAGCTTCTCTGGGCACACCAGATAGATAGAGAGATAGACAGATAGATAGACAGATAGACATACAGATAGACAGATAGATAAACAGATAAAAAGACAGATCAATGGACGGATAGATAGACATACAGATAGATAGATAGATAGATAGATAGATAGATAAACAGATAAAAAGACAGTGCGATAGGCGGATAGATAGACATACAGATAGATAGATAGATAGATAGATAGACAGATAGGTAGATAGATAGATAGACAGATAGATACACAGATAGACAGATAGATAGACCGACCGATAGACCCTAGACCCAAACCATCCCTAGAGCCTTTAGAAGCCCCAATCATCTCCAGGCAAGCTTCTGGACTTTTCCCACGTAGCCGCCGTGAGACGCGCCGTGGAGGAGTACATGGTGCAGTTGTCGTGCTAGGGCCTTTCCGGCGATTACGACAGACCGATAGTCTCCATTGTAGTTCCTTTTTGGGGATAGCTATTGGTTAAACCAAGAAAAGGAACTACAATGGAGACTATAGGGAGGGCTTGGAGGTCGCCCCCAAGGCTCAGGGGATTGGGGCTACTGTTTGTGAGGGTCGGTTTAGGGTTTAGGGTATTTAGGGCTAAGGGGTTAGGGTGTAGGAGAGGTTGATGTTCTCAATGCGAATGGGGCCTATGGATGTCACCAAGCTACAGCCCAGCTGACGAAAGAAACCTGAAAGGTCTTGTAGGCAATACCATTAAAATGTCAGTGTTGCCGCTGCGGTGCCTCAACATTTTCTTAACCGTTCAGGCCACTCATGTTATCAGAAAACAATATGGGCAAACAACACTATCCTTGTACGACGAAGCATTGAGACTGCTATATGTTTCCCCACAAGCCCAGGCCCAACACCGCAACTCTACATCCCGACCCCATGTCAGAACAACGCCTGGACCCGAGCCCTATAGAAGCCCGTATCCTAAAGATCTAAAACGAAAAGCTGCAAACAAACAAACCGCAAAATACACACAAAACAAGCATAAAAAAAAGGCTAAAGCCCTTAATCCAGGACACTCTAAACCAAGAATCCTTATTGAAGCCTACTCACTCCTTTAAATGTCCCGTGGACCGAGTTTTTGGGACGTTTCTGGTTCGTCATTAGACATGGAATTAAACCATACTACCCGTTTTCCACTTACTGTAAAATAAACAAGGCATGGAAGTGGCAGGTTAGATTTTCGACATACTACGGAAACTCTAAACCCTAGTGCCTAAACCCTAAAATCTAAACCCTAAAACCCTAAACCCTAAAACCTGGTCACGG